CCACTTGGTTCCACCAGGGGAAGAAATAGCTGTCACTTTAAATATGTAAGAAGCTTTTTCTTATTACAAAAAATATAATTACCTGAGGATTTTGTTTTGTACCTTAAATTGAAGTCCTATTTAAAACTTCACCAAGTCTTCAGAATGGCCTTGACCAAGATTTCTGTTTGTTTTCTATTTTCTAAATGTCTGAGATTTAGGAAAAAAAGGGAAACTTCCTCCACTTGTTTCATTTTAAAAGAATAGGAAAAGGCAAAATATAGAAGCGTTCTGACTCCATGAATGAGTCATATTTTCTCAAAACAAACATAAAAGAGTAAAAAAGATATAGAGATTATTCATAAAATGGAATTTTTAGAAACCCTGCAACAAAGGGGAAATATCACAAAAACAGAATGGGGAATAAGAAACAAAATCTTAATAAAAAGTTTTCAACCTTGGGACCGAGAAGGCAATGAAACAATGTCTTTTGAACTGAGGGAAAGCAATTTTCTCCTAGAATCCTAGACCCAGGCAATTTAAAGAACAAAAAGAAAAAAATCTCTTCAAATATTCAATGTCTCAAAAGTTTTATCCCCTCTTCATACTTTCTCAAGAGCAACCAGAGGATGTATCCATCCAAACTAAAGGTAGTATGATTAATAATAGACATGGAGTGTGGCCAGGAATGTGGTTCAGTGGTAGAACCCATGTTCTTGCACATGTGAGGCCCTCGGTTTGGTCCTTGGCACTGCAAAAATAAAACCCAAAAATGAAACAAAACAAAACAAAACAAAAAACAGGGCCTATGACACAGAGAATCAAATGAGTAAAGCAGTAAAGGAATTTCCCCAGTGAATGGCCCAGAACAAATCTTTCTCAGCAGACCTGAGAAGAAAACATTTCAACTAGGGCAAAAGGATAGAAATCTCCTACATGGATGTCTCCATGAAAAAGTTAAACTAGGGGCCAAAGTATTAGTGTACAGTGGGTAGACATTTGCCTTGCATATGGCCAACCTGGGTTTGATTCCCAGCATCCCATATGGTCCCCCGATCACTGCCAGTAGTAATTCCTGAGTGCAGAGCCAGGAATAACCCCTAAGTATTGCTAGTATGACACCCTCCCTCCCCACACCCAAAAAAAAAAAAAAAGCCTAAAAAAGGTGGGGGAGGAGGGGAAGAGAGAGAGGAAAAAAATAAAGCTTTAAAGAAAGAAATAGAAAAAAAATCAAGTGAAACCGAAAAACTCAGAATGTGGTTGACAATTTTGAGAATGATTTCACAGTATTCTCTGATCAGTGATACATAGATTAAAAAAATGCTAATGACAGGGCAAAAACTTATTTCAAAAAATTTATTAAAGAAAAAAGGCACTTTTCCTGGAAGCAAATGGTGGTGGGAGGTAATGGATGGGAGTGGTTGGGGAGGGAAATGGACATTGGTGAGTGATGTTGAAACATTTTATGCTTGAAACACAATCACAGTGGTCAAATGTTGTAAAAAATTATTTAACACGCTATGAGGGGTGGAAGAGATAGCACAGTGGGTAACGCCTTGCACAGTGCCAACCCAGTTCTGATGTTCAGTGTCACGTAATATCTCCAAGCACCACCAAGAGTAATCCCTGAGTGCAGAGCCAGGAGAAAGCCCTGAGAACTGCCAGGTGAAGCCACAACACAAAACAAAACAAAAAAGGCTAATGAGACCTTGGAATGTGGCTTAAATGGCAGAACACTTGCAAAGCGGAAGTAAGGCCTGGAATTACATGATCCCCCAATCCTCAGTACCACTGGGTATAACCTTGGTGGACATTGAATACCACTGGGATGACCAATGAAGGAAATAAAAAAAACTAAAATAAATTTTTATTTTTATTTATTTAATTTGCTTTTTGGGTCATGCCCAGCAATGTTCAGTAATTACTCTTGGTGGTGCTTGGGGAGCCATATGGGATCCTGGGGATTGAACCCATGTCAGTCTCATGCAAGGAAAATGCCCTACCCGCTATACTATCGCTCCAGCCCCAAATTTGAATGTCTGTCCCTCTTGGAGAACCTGGCAAGCTACCGAGAGTACTTCACCTGCATGGGAGAGCCTGGCAAGCTCCCTGTGGTATATTCGATATGCCAAACACAGTAACAACAAGTCTCACAATGGAGACGTTACTGGTGCCCGCTCAAGCAAATTGATGAACAACAGGAGGAGTGCTGCGGTGCTAAAGGAATTTTAAGTGTCAGAAAGACCGTAAAGCAGGTAGGGTGCTTGCCTTGCATGCAACTAATTTGGGTTCCATCCCCAGCACCACATATGGTCCAAGGAGCCTTCCAGGAGAGATTCCTGAGTACAGAACCTAGAGTAAGCCCCGAGCATGCCTTTTGTTTTCTTGGTTTTTTTGTTTTTGTTTTTGTTTGTTTTTGCTTTTTGGGTCACACCCGGCAATGCTCAGGGGTTACACCTGGTTTTGCACTCAGGAATCACTCCTGGCATTCTCGGGGGACCATATGGGATGCTGGCAATCGAACTCGGGTCAGCCGTGTGCAAGGCAAAAGCCCTACCTGCTGTGCTATTGCTCCAGCCCCCTGTTTTTTGTTTGTTTTTTTTAAGAAAAGATTTTTCCCTTTTATGGCTATTTGGGTCAATCTCAGCAATGCTCAGAGGTCACTCCTGGCTCTGCACTCAGGTATTACTCCTGGTGGTGCTCAGAGGACCATATAGGATTCCAAGAATTGAACCCAGGTCAGACGCATGCAAGGCAAATGCCCTCCCCCTGAACACATGAAGTATCACCCAGAAATAAAAAAAATACCAGAAAATCTTAAAAATAAAGAATTTTTAAGCCAATAAAAATAGATATAAATATTAACTTCAGGAAAAAATTAAGTTATATAAAAGTACACCACGGGTCAGGAATGTAGCTTAGCAGTAGAGAATTGACTGATATTGCAAGTGGGAGGCCCTGAGTTTGACCCTGGCAATTCAAAACCAAAATAAAACATATGTAACACTGTTCTAAATATATATATATTATATATTCTAAATAACTGTTATAAGTAACCAAATATATATTCAGTGCTAAATAACTAAATATATATTCAGTTCTAAATAACTATATTCTAAATAGCTAAATACATATTTAAATATATGTATATATATATTTAGAACTGAATAAATATATTTAGAACTAAATATATATATATTTAGAATGGAATATATATTCTGTTCTAAATAAGGTAAAGGCCCTCCCGTTGATCGTCGATTTGCTCGAGCGGGCCCAGTAACGTCTCCATTGGAGACTTTGTTGTTACTGTGTCTGGCATATCGAATACTCTCGGTAGCTTGCCGGGCTCTCCGAGAGGGGCGGAGGAATCGAACTCAGGTCGGCCATGTTGGCTGCGTGTAAGGCGAACGCCCAACCCGCTGTGCTATCGCTCCTAAATATATATTCCATTCTAAATAACTAACTATATATTCTAAGCCTGGCAAGCTACCTGTGATGTATTCGACATACCAAACACAGTAACAACAAAAGTCTCCAATGGAGACGTTACTGGGCCCGCTGGAGCAAATTCATGAACAAGGGGATGACGCACGCAAAATACATTCAGTTCTAATTTAGAATACATATTCTAAATAAATATACATATCTCTATATATTTATATATCTGTATATAGACATATATAGATATAGATATAGATACTGTTCCAAATCCTAAGCAGGTATTATCTTCTTAAAGTTTTATACCCTATATGGGCTGGAGCGATAGCACAGCGGTAGAGCGTTTGCCTTGCACGCAGCCAACATGGCAGACCCGAGTTCGATTCCTCCGCCCCTCTAGGAGAGCCCGGCAAGCTACTGAGAGTATCTCGCCCGCATAGCAGAGCCTGGCAAGCTACCCGTGATGTATTCGATATGCCAAAACACAGTAACAACAAAGTCTCCAATGGAGATGTTACTGGACCCGCTATAGCAAATCGATGAACAATGTGAGGACAGTGACAGTGACAGTGACCCTATATGGTAAGCATTATTATCAGGCCCATTTTAGTATTAAGAAAAGTAAGTTGCAGAAAGGTTAAAAGACTTAAGATTATTTAGCTTATTATTATACAATCATATTATTGTATTCTCACCATCACAGTTTTTTGTATGGTTTAACTATATGAATAGTATTTTCATAACTATTCACCTGTATGTACTGATCTCACTTGTCTTTGTGTCCTAATTAGATAGTGAGAGAACTGGGAGGAAGGTAAACTCTGTTGGGGCTAAAACCTTATCTTTCCTAGTACAGAGTGATACATAACAATTAGAGTATGTGGGAAACAGATCTATATTAATATATTATTTAAAATATCCAGTAACAGGCAGGAGATAGTACAACAGGTAGGGCCTAGCATGCAGCTGACCCAGGTTCAACCTCCAGCACCTCATATGGTCCCCCAAGCCCCAACAAGAGTGATCCTTAAGCATACAGCCAGGTATAAGCCCTGAACACTGCCAGATGGGGCCCCTGAAACAAAACAAATTAAATAAAGCATCCAGTAACATAAAAAGCAACTGAAAACTTTTTAGAGACAATGATTTGGGTGTAGAGAAAGGAAAAGCAAGGAACGTTTAAAATTGAAATGACATTCAACTTTTTAAATTTTATTTATTTATTTATTTTGCTTTTTGGGTCACACCCGGCAATGCACAGGGGTTACTCCTGGCTCTGCACTCAAGAATTACTCCTGGTGGTGCTCAGGAGACCGTATGGGATGTTGGGAATCAAACCCGGGTTGGCCACGTGCAATACAAATGCCCTACCCGCTGTAACTATTGCTCTAGCCCCATCAACTTTAAAGTTTTGTATTTGACTTTCTTTGATTAAAAAAAGTTGATTTAAATAAAATTCATGAAAGTAGGAAAAGCCCAGGGACGGAAGTGTCGGATACTAAAGTGGGATGGTATTCGCAGGTACCAGAACCAGCAGGACAAGGCAAGGCAAGACCAGCCCCTATAACCAGCCCCGGTCATACCTTCTTCACCAAACACCTCTCCACAGTGAGAGCAGAAGAAGTGCTCAGGGTGCCAGGTTTGGTCCATTGCCGTCAGCACTTTCTGGAAAAGGAACACACAGAGAGATAGCAGAATGCTGCAGGGCGGTAAAACAGGGCTCTTGTTCTACCCGCGTGTTGAAAAGCAACATAGGAACAGGGGGAAACAGGTTTCACTTACATCCAGGATGGGGGCAGCACAGTAGGCACACCGCGGAGAAAACAGATGGTGATAGTCCTTGGGGCAGTAGGCCAAGCCATTCCGTTCAAAAAAGGGACTGGAACCAATCTCTTCTTTGCAGTGGGTACAGATGAAGTGCTCTGGGTGCCACGCTTGCCCTAGAGCGTGGATCACCTGCAAGATGAAATAAAGCCTGACGTGGGCATTAGGAAATAAAGCAGGGCATTAGGGCCTAGCGTTGCACAACTCTGGGGAGCTCTTTTCACATGCTATTCAGCATCCTTTGTAGTTTTAGGATGCTGAGGCCCAGACCAGATAGTACCATGCAGTTTGCAGCCCAAGCTTTACTGATCGTGAAAGGTTGTCCACTTTCCTGACTGATGCTACTGCCTCAAAAAGTCAGTAATGGCCTATTGGCACTAGACTGCTGCCAAGAGTAGGAGAGATAACAGAACACAGAAGAGATAGGCAGGTTATTACATCCTTGGCAGAGCCAAAGGCCAAGTGACATTTTCATTCCTCTGGTCTAAGCGTTTCTTCCTCTTAGGCCCTGTGCAGAACAGGTCTCAATGGCCTTTAACATGGTTTGGGGGGAAGCGTTTTTGGAGCAGGAGTTTAGCCATGTTTTGGAGCTGACTGCAGCTGCATATCGCAATCAATCAATTTAGAGTGGAAATGTTTGAATAAAGGGACTCAGAAAGTTGCTTTTCATACAGGCAGTATTGAAAGATGGCTAAGGAGTTCAAACTCAGGAATTAGATTTTCCTGGGTCAACTTTCATCCCTACCTATTACTATACCTTGGGTATATTAGTTAATGTCCCCAGATCTCTGGCTCCTCATTCTCATAAAGAACATAAAAATAAATAAATAAAAATAGAGTTTCCCTCAAAAGATTGATGTGACTGTTAAATGAAGGGATACTTACCTCTACGCCTGGACACTGTCAATATTCAGTAATTATTAACTAATACTAGAATTCTCAGTCTATAAAAGACAGCCTGTGTGTGTAGAGACAGATAGACAGAGAGACAGACATCCACATACAGAGATGGCTGTAGGGCAACTTGGCCCATCCCACCTTCCCAGCAATTGGTTTCTGGCAGGAAGCACAATGACCCTTGGGCACTGTGGTAATCCCAAGGTTCAGCAAATCCTGCTCCAAACCCCCCAGCATCGAATCCAGGGATGCCTTGTGATCCTGCTTATCTGGTAAGTGTGTCTTGCTGCCATCTGGTTTCGCTGCAACCTGGTACCAAGGAGAGAACGGGAAGAGAATCAGCACCATTTAACACTTGCCCTCATGGGTATCTTCTATAAGAATCTCTATGATCCAGTAATGTGCACTTCCATTCATCCCTTAGTCTTTCACTACCCTTCCTTCAAGGCATGGGAAGAATTCAACACTGAAACGCAGTGATTTGATTCCTCATTGTAATTCATCTCTTTTATTCTAAATTGCTCAGGCTGAATGAAATCTAACTCCTTTGGAAATTTTTCAGACCAGGCTGGAGAGATAGTACAGCAGTTAAGATGCTTGCCTTGTACAAATGGTCAATCTGGGTTTGATCCCTGGCATCCCATATGGTCCCCAGAGCCCCACCAGGAGTAATCCCACAATGCAGAGCCAGGAGTATACCTGGGTGTGGCCCAAGATTTTTTTTAAATTGAGAACTTGAAGATGATACCCTTTATAAACTCTCATGATATCCAACACCAACAATTAATCAAATCCAACCTTTTATTCCTCGATTCTGCAATATTTATTGGACTCTTATAAATACTGTTCGTCCCTATCACTGCTTCAGGATCTTAGCAGAAAACAATGTCCAAGACTGAGTATCAGCTCAATTTAAATGCATTTAGGGACACAGAAGAAAGGAATTTACTTTGTCTGGGAGATAGTAAATAACAAATACATGATCTAATACCAGATAGAGGGAAGATACATTATATATACATATATATATATATGTATACACACACATATAACATAAAGATAGAATTGACAGAGGAATAATTGACCCAAATAAGTTATCAGAGAAGGTCCCCTAAGGAGGTGCTATATGGGCAAATCGTTAAATGATGCACTTAGAAACAGAGATATTTGTGAGGGAAAGCATTCCAGAAAAAGAAAACAATCTGGTACGCTAGAAGAAAAGTTGTTTGTTTTTAATTCAGTTTGAACAGAGTGAGAATACTCAAGACAGGAGAAAGTGGAGAGGGGTTGCAAAATTCACATCACGCCCTAATGGTTTTGTTTATTGGCATGGAGCCAAGGAAGGGTGATTTCAAGCATGACAGAGAATCTGATTTACAAGATTTCTGTGGCAGCTGAGTGAGGAACTAAGTGTAGACTAGCAAGAATAGTATTAGAAGCATTTGTTAAAGGAGAGTTTAAGAATATCAGCATAGGGGCTGGAGCAATAGCACAGCAGGTAGGGCATTTGCCTTGCACGCGGCAGACCTGGGTTTGATTCCCAGCATCCCATATGGTCCCCTGAGCACTAGCAGGAGTAATTTCTGAGTGTAGAAACAGGAGTAACCCCTGTGCATTGCCAAGTGTGACCCAAAAAAGATTATCAGCATATCAGTGGAAACCAGAAATACTGACTTGGACCAAAATTAGGGAAATAGGGAGGGAAAAGTTGTTATAAATCATTCAAAAGAAAAGCCCTATGTAACAACAAAGAAAAAGATGTCGAATTTATTCTTCATCACTTCATCCCGTTTCCAACTCTCTCAAGTGCCAACTGGATGACTACTACTATCTACCCAGAACTTCCTGGTTTGATGCAAAATTCCTTCTAGTGTTAGATTTGCATGCCCCAGTCAGTCACCCAAAATCTTCCAGGCACTGGCCTCACTTTACCTTTCCAATCTCTTCTTTTATTACTAGTAAATAGCCTCTCTTGTTTAAGACAGGCCAGGCTCCCTGCAGTCTACTGAATGTGATCTGTTAGTCTGCCTTCAGGCTTTTATTATCCTAGTTTTACTGCCAGAAATAACTGCATTATCGCACTAATGCAAAATGTTCATTTCCCTTCAAGAAGTTTTATCATCTAACACACTTCCTCCTCTATTATGTAATGCTAGTGTTGAGATTAGTGTTCAAGAGGGCAACCAATCTTAAGTGGAAAAAAGAGCTATGGTAAAAAACTAAATTCAATTTATCTTTCCCCAATTTACATCTACAGTTATTTTCTAGTATATTTTAGTATACTTCAGAATGAACATGTAAGAAATGGGAAATACTGAATACCTCTGGGGGGTGGGGGGGGGAGAATTGAATGGCTTGGAAACAGCTCTCACTGAGAAACAAATCACTGTAAAGTTTTGTACTTTCAATTTTTGTACAATGAGAGTGGGTGGCCTACTCAAATGAAAAAGCAAAGGAAAGAATTTATATTTTCATTCCAAATAAATACATTCCAAATTAATTAGAAAACAAAACACAACTAAAATTCCTAGTGTACATCTTTTCTCAAGTATTCCCAGGTATATACTGCAATCTAAGGAATGTACAAAGCTCTTTTATGGACATTAAAGAAAACTTGCTTCTGATATTCACTTCTCCCTTGAGTAAATATATATTACTCACAATATTTTAATTTTTTTTATTTGGGTCAAATCTGGCAATGCACAGGGGTCACTCCTGGCTCTGCACTCAGGAATTACTCTTGGCAGTGCTCAGGGGACCATATGGGATGCTGGGAATTGAACCTGGGTCGGCCGTGTGCAAGACAAATGCCCTACCAGCTGTACTATCACTCCAGTCCCCGTACTCACAATATTTTAGGAACTGTGTTGCCTTTGGTGTCCAGAGGAGAATCCCAAAGACCCAGCTCTCCCCAATCACATACATTTTTATATAATGTCATGAATGACTGCATAATTACCTTTACATCATAATACTCTAATTTAGGATAACTATTCTCTACATAAAAATTTCAGATTATACTTCTCTTAATAATGTCTTTTTTTTTAATTATTGTGAGTCATATCCAGTAGTGTTTAGAGAACCTGCCATGGCAGAGACAGAACCCAGGTCCTCAGATATACAAAGTATATCCTCCATACCCAGAGATGCTAAGAGGGCTTAGCATCTGCTGGCTGTGAGCTCAGGGGTCACTTCTAGAGGAGCCCAGGGGACCATATGGGGTGTCAGAGATTGAACCCAGATTAGTCATGTGCAAGGCAAGTGTCCTGCTCATTGTACTATCTCTCCAGTCCCTGAAATACCCTTAAACCCAGTCCTCTGCCTTCCATTCCCTGCCAGGCCGCATGAGTATATCACTCCTGTATTGGAAGCTAGAAGAGGAGATGAATTTCTCTCAAGATCAGGTCTACTTTCAGGTTTTTTTTTTTTTGCTTTTTGGGTCACACCCAGAGATGCACAGGGGTTACTCCTGGTTCTGCTCTCAGGAATTACCCCTGGCAGTGTTCGGGGGACCATATGGGACACTGGGAATTGAACTCGGGTTGGCCATATGCAAGGCAAACGCCCTACCTGCTCTGCTATTGCTCCAGCCCCTTTATTTTACTTTCAAAGTCTTACTTTGTTTTTCCCATTTTCTATACCTATTCACCCACAGGTCTCCTTCATTCTGCTCGTCTTAACAATCCTTCCACACTGAACTCGCCTTAGAACCAGCCAATTCCCTCGGGACTCATTTCAACTGAAAAGACTCCTGGTCCCTTCTCTCCGTCCACTTTCTTCTTGACAAATGATTATCACACAGCATCCCCAACTCCTTTAAAAAAAAAAAAAACCCATGACCTCGCTACATTCCTTAACACTTGTGCCACTCATTTTACCACACTGCCCTCTTTTATCTTATAATTACAGAATCTGGTGCATCATTTTTACCAAGCCCATGTCAAATGCCTGTAATCATGCTCCCTCTTGGGCCAAGATAATACATACACAAAGTTGAGTTCATTTGCTACATTAAATTTAGTCTGGGAAAACGACTGGCAGGTTAGGAGAGTTCCAAAAGAAGGACTGCACAAAGGAAAAGCCCACAAGCTTTACACTGAGCTCACCTTTTGCTGCATTTCACACAGATTGGCCATGAGTTCGTCTAGTTGAGAGGCTGCTGTGGTTTTAGGAGGTGGGGGTGGTGATTCTTTTGATTCTTGAACCTCACTACGGGGAAGGAAACCAAAACAGTCATAGGAACACATCAAAACTCAAACAAATACTAAACAGTACAAAGAGACTAGTTTTAATTATTAACTCAACTCTGTAGATGTAAGTAAAACTAGAGGCAGAGGATATTTTGAAAAATAAGCACTCAGGGGTCAGAGTGATACAGTGGGTGGGATGTTTGCCTTGCCTGCGGCCGACTCGAGTTTGATCCCCAGCATCCCATATGGTCCCCTGAGCACTGCCAGGAGTAATTCCTGAGTACAGAGCCAGGAATAACCCCTGAGCATCGCTGGGTGTGACCCAAAAAGGAAAAAAAATGCACTCAGATGAAAAATCAAATTTCTGTCTCTATGCATCATCTCAAAACCAGATTACTCTGAAACTCTGGGGTGGGGGGCGGGGTGGGGACAGGGGAGTTACATAGGTACTTGGCAGATCTTTCGCCTCAAGAATAAGTTCTGAACAGGATTTTAAGATCACGGTCCTGTATTTTTTAATTTTTTTTAAATATTCTATTATCTCTTGGGCCGGAGCAATAGCATAGTGGGTAAGGTGTTTGCCTTAAACACGGCTGATCCATGTTCGATTCCTCTGCCCCTCTTGGAGAGCCTGGTAAGCTACCGAGAGTATTCCGCCCACACGGCAAAGCCTGGCAAGCTCTCCATGACGTATTCGATATGCCAAACACAGTAACAACAAGTCTCATGATGGAGACTTAATGGTGCCCGCTCAAGCAAATCGATGAACAACGGGAGGACAGTGATACAGTGCTATTATCTCTTGTAATTGCCAGGCAAAAAGGCAAAGGGGGCAAAAAAAGATGATAGAACAGGCAGAACAGATAAACAGTTTCAAGGCCCAAAGTTGGTCATGGCCATCAATTTTTTATATAAACAGTTGCTTTTGTACAGAGCTGGAGAATTCTCACAGGGCTGGTATATGCCAGAAAGCCTGAAATATTTTCTAACTTCCCTTCTAACACCTGGTAGAGTTTAGGTAAGCTAAATAAAGCTGGTGTTGTCACTATAATTGTAAGTAAACTGCCAATGATTGTAAATTGAGTTTCAATAAACATATCTCAAATTCTGTCCAAATTCTTGCAAAATCATTAATAAAATAAACTATGTATGAGGATAGAAAACAAACTTTAAAAAATTCTAAGAAATAATTTACCCTGTATCATTAGAATGCCGTGAATGAAAACAAATTAACCTTCAATATTTAAAAAAAAAAGAAAAGACTTTTAAATAAATCTTGGGATAAGAAAAGTAAATTAAAATTTCAATTTAGAAATAACAATGAGGATGCACATGTATATACAAATGCTCCTCTCAGAGTCCAGAACAAAATACTATTGAAAGAAAAATATGAAAAATAAAACATCTCATTAAAATCTAAAAAAGTACCAGCAAACACAACCCAAATAAAAAACTAAACAGATGAATATAAATTTATATTATAAACCAAGTATAAATGAGTAAAGGATAACGCACAGATTTTCAGTAGCATGGTATAAATTTTCAAGAGCACAGAAAAATATGGAAGTTCGCCCAATAAGTTCTATTGTTATGTCAGTGTTTGTCACTACTCAATGAGATACTAGGACATAAGTTTATTTTACTTCAATGGGCCCAGTAATTGCAATGGGTCCTGGGACTTTAACCCATTCAGCAAATGATTCAAAAACTGAAGTTACGTTTGCACCCTAAAACTACATTCCAAAGTGTCAATTAAACTCTTGCAAGATTAGGTTCAATTTTTACTCATGTTTAAAACAAGATATGATTTCTACCCATACATTAAAAAGGGAGACAAGATATAGATTTAGCCACACATCACAGGAGCAAATTGTTTCTTTACATAGCTTAGGGTTAGGGCATACTTTTCCCCAATCTTTATCAGCCCAGAGCATTGTGGTAAATCCCTGATTCTGTTAGGGAACTGCACAGTCATCCTGGGTGGCAGCTCTTCAATTTCAGGGTCTGACACTTGCAAACTTTTAACCCTTCCCTGTTCCAACAGCTTGGGGATGATCGCATCTTAAACTATATAATGTCATCACAGACTAAAACAAATAACTCAAATCATTACCTAACACCCTAAATATTGCATGAATTTCATGAATTTCATACTGAAACTAGAATGAACACTGTCTGTGTGTGTGTATATGTGAGAGGAAGAGAGGATGAGGAGAGCAGTAAGGGAGAGCAGAGCTTATTTAAGTAAAAACAATTTTACTGTGTTTAAAAATCATCATTGCTGGGGCTGGAGTGATAGCACAGCGGGTAGGGCATTTGCCTTGCACGCAGCCAACTCGGGTTTGATTCCCAGCATCCCATATGGTCCCCCAAGCACTGCCAGGAGTAATTCCTGAGCATCGCCATGTGTGACCCCCCTCACCCAAAAAAACACTGCTTGTGTTATAGGGCACTCAGGTTCTTGTCCACTGACAGTCAATATTGAAAGTAGAGGACCAAAGAGGAAATGGCCAAATTTCTCTCTGGTCAGGGCAAAGGGAAAGGGCAGGGAAACTGGGAAATGGGTATCCTCAAGTAGGAAGACCAGGATGCTAGGGAATGGGGTATCCTCAAATAGGAAGACCAGGAAAAACTAATCTTTTTGTATTTATTGGTGATGGGTGAACAACTCTGCATTGAGCTTAAGGCACACAAGTTGGTAAAAGAAAGGCACTAAAGGATCAACATGGAGAATATCATACTAAGTGAAATGAGTAAGAGAGGGACAGATATAGAATGACTGCACTCATTTGTCGAATATAAAGTAACATAATGGGAGACTAACACCAAAGGATAATAGAGATAAGGGTCAGAAAGATCACTCCACAGCTTGAAAGCCGGCCTCACATGCTAGGGGGAAAGGCAACTGGAATAGAGAAGGGACCACCAAGTAAATGATGCTTGGAGGGCTCGCTCAGGATGGGAGATGTGTGCTGAAAGTAGACTATGGACCAAACATGATGGTCACTTACTACCTGTTTCAACCCATAACAACCAAAAGGAGAGAGAGAGTAAAAGGGAATGTACCTGCCACAGAGGTGGGGGGATGTGGGGGAAGCAGGAGAAATACTGGGCACATTTTTGGTGGAGAATGGGCACTGGTGGAGGTAGTCGATCATTGTATAACCACAAAAGTTTGTAAGTTTGTAACTGTATCTCACGGTGATTCACTAAAAAAAAAAATTAAATAAATTTTTAAAAAGACACTAGGAAGAGGAAGACATTTGAAAGGGTACAAATCCTGGACCCTTACTCCACTCTCAGGAGAGCTAGTACGGGGGTTAAGGTGCTTGTCTTGAACAATTTCTGGAGCACCACCTGGGTGACTCACAAACACAGAAGCAAGAGTAGCCCCAAGCACTACCAGGTGTAGCTTCAGCACTAGAAAAATGATTGCTCTGACTCATTGTCTAACAGATGAGAGAATAACTTCATAGACACATGACAGGCTAAGGAGTTTGAAAACTGAGATAAGAGTGGTGGAGGATGTGGCACTGGAACATTGCGTGCGTAAAACTCTGTCTGTCATCAACGGTATTGCAAACCACTGGTGCCTCAAATGAAACTTTTGAAATTTAAATTTTCTAATTAGGGAAAAATGAATTTAAAAGGAGTTAAAACAAATTGAAGCCATATCCCTATTGAAGACTGAGGACCAAAAGAAAAAAATTCCATAATCTGATTAAATGTTTCCATAAGAAATCCTTTTATAAAAATATTAAAATAGTCACATATACATCTTTAAATACATTGACCTACAGATATCTAGATTTTTGTTGTTGATACGGTTTGGGGTCACACCTGGCATTGCTTGGGGCTTATCCTGGCTCTGTGCTTAGGGGTCACTTCTGGTTATGCTCATATTGTATGACTGAAATCCAATCATGAATGGCTTTATAATGCTCTATCTCACAGTGACTCAATTTTTAAAAAGATGAAACTGAGAATTTAACATGGGGTGCTGGGAATTGAACTTGAGTGAGCACTGGCAAGAGTGATCTCTGAGCACAGAGCCAGGAGTAAGCCCAGAGCACAGCTAGGTGTGGCCTAAAACCACAAATAAAAACAAAAGAATCTATTTTCATTTTAAATATATGGTGTGATATGGTAATTATTGGAAATTACCACAAGGATGGGGGGTGGAGGGTGGTTAAGATAGAGGAAGGTCCATGATTACAGTATTAGTTGGAAATTATCACTCTGGACAAGAACTGAGTAATGAAAATAGGCAAAGAGATATGCATGATAACCTTTTAGCATCTGTATTGCAAACCATAATGTCTAAAATGAGAGAGAGAAAGAGAGAGAGAGAGAGAGGAGAGGTGCTTATCATAGATAGGTGGGGGTGTAGTGGTATGGAGGAGTGAGAGGGAAACTGGGGACACTGGTGCTGGGAAATTATACTGGTGGAGGGAAAGATGTTGGAATATTGTATGACTGAAATCCAATCATGAATGGCTTTGTAATGGTCAACATCTTTTTTTTCTAGAGCAGCAGTAATGAACTTGAAAATCCAACAGGAAGGAAAAAAACATGTTCCCAATGTCAATAAAAATATTCTAAAATATTAAAGAATATATCTAACAAGAAATGTGCACAATTTCCATGAATAAAAACCAATGGGAGACATAAAAGAAAACTCAGATAAAGGAAAATGCATAATATGGTGTCTCCCGATGTAATTTATAATTTATAATCCCAATATAATTTCACTGTAATATATCTAAAGACCCTAATTGAATTATTTAATAAAATGATGATAAAATTCCGTTTAGAAAACCTTGAAGATATAAAAAGATAAGGGAAGGTTCATTCCCAAATGATTTCTATAGAGTGACAATAACTTTAAGTGATGTTTGTAAAGAAGCAAATACATCAAATTAGTAGAACAGAATTCAGAAATAGACTTCTAGTTACACAAATGCGAACTTTTATATGGTAAGTATGGCAGTTTAGGTCACTAGAAACTAACAAATCAAC